CAAAAAAGCACTGAGGTGTCCCCGAGTCGCCCGAAAACCACTCCCAGATGCCCGCGGTCGCCTCCAGGTGGCCCACCACGCTCCCCAGCGCTCCACGAAGGCTTCCAGACAGGACCCAAACGCTCCCCAGACGCTCCAAGAGGGCCCCTAGACGCTCCACAAGAGAGCCCCAAATGGCACAATTCAGCTGTTTCCCATGAGTTTTGTTTTGATGCCAGCCTTTTCGGCTCGATGGCGCCCCGAAGCAGCCCCAGACTCAGAAGCACCAACACCCGCTTCAAGACGGGGCCAGGGCCCTCCCCCAAGGGTGCCTATACTGCCCAAGAGGCCGCAAAGCCGCCCCAAAACACTTCCAGGACAGCCCCAAAACACACCGAGTCGTCCCTGAGTCGCCCGAAAACCACTCCCAGACGCCTGCGGTCGCCGCCAGATGGCCCACCACGCTCCCCAGCGCTCCACGAAGGCTTCCAGACGGGCCCCCCCCCCCCCCAGACGCTCCAAGAGGGCCCCTAGACGCTCCACAAGAGAGCCCCAAATGGCACAATTCAGCTGTTTCCCATGAGTTTTGTTTTGATGTCAGCCTTTTCGGCTCGATGGCGCTCCGAAGCAGCCCCAGACTCAGAAGCACCAACACCCGCTTCAAGACGGGGCCAGGGCCCTCCCCCAAGGGCGCCTATACTGCCCAAGAGGCCGCAAAGCCGCCCCAAAACACTTCCAGGACAGCCCCAAAACACACCGAGTCGTCCCTGAGTCGCCCGAAAACCACTCCCAGACGCCTGCGGTCGCCTCCAGATGGCCCACCACGCTCCCCAGCGCTCCACGAAGTCTTCCAGACGGGCCCCAACCCCCCCCCCCCCCAGACGCTCCAAGAGGGCCCCTAGATTCCCCACAAGAGAGCCCCAGGAGGCACCGCAGCAATTCTGGCTCACGTTTGAAACGTTCCCCTGGCGCTTCGAACTTGGACGCAACCGAGAGGGAGCCTCTGCGTCCTATCTACAGAGGAGAGGCGTCTTACGCACAGACGTGCGCCACAGCAGGCGTCTTTTAGGCCACCACTATACAAAAACGTTCGTTTTCGGCCTTGCACCCGCACTGCTGCCATGGGTGGGGGACGCAAGGCTGACCGTCGTATTCGAGGCGCCCTCCCCATGACGTAACGCTCCCTCCCCCCCGTAGTGCGCCTCCGGCACTGCCATTCTGATGCTCGCAGGCAATTGCGGTGCGCGCAGGCTGCTTTAACATTCACGGCCGAGCATGGCGTTGACAAGCTCATTGCCCGTACTCGCAGACATGGTGCTGCGCTCGCAGGCTATTGTCGCAAATGCAGGGTCCGGAAGTTTTTGCGCACGCGCGCTGGATTCACTCGGTATTTTGGTGCTGGCAGGGCCGCGAGAGTTGTGGTAGTGGCATCGGTAGCAGAAGTAGCGGCAACAGTCGCAGCAGTAAAAGTGATATCAGGAAGACGGGAGGAGGAGGAGGAGGAGGAGGAGGAGGAGGAGGAGGAGGGAGAGTTGGAGAGGGAACGGGGTATCCTTATAATTGATGTGATTTACTTGTGGTCGTGGTGATCTTTGTTGTGTTTGTAATTGTTGTCGTCGTAGTCGAAATCGGCACGGTCGTCGTCTTCATTTTGGTCGTAGCGATAGTCGTCGTCGGCGTGTGGTCGTCATTGTGACGGTCGTCGTGACAGTCGCAGTCGTCGCAGTATTCGTAATCGTCGCGATCGTCGTCATAGTCGTCGTGATCGTCGTCGCGTTCGTCATCGTGGTCGTTGTCGTGTGGTCGTCGGGATCGGAGCCGTAGTAATCGTCATGGTTGGCGTTGGCCTCCTGAGTGTGGTCGTCGTTGTCGTCGCGATCGTCGTCACGATCGTTGCAGTAGTTGTCGTCGTCGTCGCAGTCATAGAACGCGGGTGGCTGTATTCTCAAAGCGTTCTGCACGCTTGTAACTCAAGTTCTTGAGGCAGAAGGTTTTCTGAAGGTCGACGAAACATGGTATAAACATCGCCTCTCGGAGCTCCTCGGGGATTTCTGGGATCCCCCCCGGCGGCGACCCCGGCGCGGCCCCGGGCGCGCCCCGCGCGGCAGGGCGGGCGGCTCAGCGCAGATCCAAGAAATCCTCGCAGGCGCTGCGGCGAACGCGGCTGCTGTGGGGCACGCAGGCGCTGTGGTGCACTCAAACACTGCGGTGCACGCGTGCAGCACGCATCGAAAACAGGCAGTACAGTACAGGTTTGAGACACTTGTCGTGCTATGCTTCGGTTCTGGAGGCGGCAGAAGCAGAGTACTGTAGCACTCTTTACTGTGCATCGTAGATGCAACACAGAGGCAACAAACACAAGCACAAAATAATGCTCGAAGGAGGGTGTGGAGGATGCAAACACTCTGGCGCTGCGCGATGGTGCACGTATGCGCTGCGCAGGACATAGGCGATGTGGTGCACGTGACTGTGGCGGTACATACTGTGCTGCGCACTGTGGTGCTTGCTGTGGTGCGCACAGGCGTTGTGGTGCCCGAGCCACACGGCGGGGGGGGGGGGGCGTTACGTTATGCCTCCCCCCGCCCCCCCCTAACGAGCGTTGTGGCCGCGAAGTTCAAAACGCGCTCAAGGAGGGCGGGGGATCCAGCGTAGGGGTAGCAGCAGCAGGACGGGGGGCACACGCAGGGTCAGGGGGTGGGTGAGCGGAGGAAGACGCCCTGTGAGGCCCTGGATACGGGTCGCTCCACGACGAGGGGCGGGAGGAGGATAGGGAGGGAGGCACATGACGAAGGGGAGGAGCAGGAGGAGGAGGAAGAGGAGGAGAAGGAGGAGGAGGAGGAAGAGGACCAGTGCAAACCCAAAACGTATCAATGATGTTGGAATACGCACTCCCTCCAAGATCCCTCTTCATAGGCCCCTGCAGGGGATCATTTCCACTGAGGCAATTACCCCGTTGGGGGACAGTCGTGTGAGCATCTTGAAGCGTACCAAACACCGTTCTCAGGATTTCAACGCCACGAGTTAACCTGATTGTTACGTCTTGGCGATCTGGAACCGCGCCAGAACACCATTCCAGGGACTTCAACACCGCAAACCAGCGAAACTGTTACGCCCTAGCAATCCCCGCACTGGTACGTCATCCATGAGAGGCAACGAACATATTTCAAATATTTAAGACGGATGTGCGCGGCGCTAAGGCGAGAGCCACATGGTGAAAACCGCCCGCCCTCAACCCGTGAAGTGTTTGCATGGTTTACAACGAATGTGCGCGGCGCCGAAGCGAGAGCAACATTTTGAAAACGAAACGACCTCAATCCGTGAAGTTCTTGCAATATGTTACAGGGAATGTGCACGGCTCTAATGTGAGAACCACATTTTGAAAACGGCCCGCATTCAATGTTTGAAGCTCTTGCAAGTGTTTACGACGAATGCGCGCGGCGCTAAGGCGAGATCAGCATTTTTTAACCACCCGCCCTCAATACGCAAAACTCTTGCAATGTTTGCAACGAATTTGCGCGGCGCTAAGGCGAGAGCCACATTTTAAGAACCACCCGCCCTGAATCCGTTAAGCTTTTGCAAATTGATTACAGCGAGTGTGCGCGGCGCTGAGGCGAGAGCCACTGTTGAAAACGACCCGCACTAAACCCGCGAAGGTCTTCCAAATTTTTAAAAACGAATGAGCGTGGCTCAACGGCGAGAGCCACATTTTGAAAACGACCGCCTTCCATCTTTGAACTTGCTGTCAATGTGTAAGCATCAGGGTCATACATTGAATGAGGAAGTTTCAGGCGAAACGCCCAGCCCGCCCTTCAGACCAGCCTCGGGGTGCGACAGGGAGCAGTTATCTAGAAGGAAAAGGAAAGGAAAGGAGGAGAAAGAGGAAGGAGGAAGGAGGAAGCACGAGAGAGGAAGGAGTAAGGAGGAATGAGGAGGCGGCAGGAAGGAGGAGGAGGAGGAGGAGGAGGAGGAGGAGGAGGAGGAGGAGGAGGAGGAGGAGGAGTGCCCGTCCCCTGCTGGGAGGCTCGAGAGCAGCGCCCGTCTGCGAAACCCAGCTTGTTGTCACATCCGCAGACCTCAGACATCGGGCGCTTCGACTCCTTCGAGACACGGGCCCAGACAGGGGTCAGTGCAAACGGGGGTCAGCCAGGGCGCCGGATCCTGCAGGATCCTGCGAAGACCCACTCTGGCTGACCCGGGTTAGCGAGCCGCTTGTGGCCGCGAGGCGGCCGCGCCTATTGGCTGACCCGGGTTTGCGAAGACCAGCGTTGCAGTTTTTTTTGTTTCTTGCATTGCAGTTTTTGGTTTCCTGCTGACCCGGGTCTGGATTGACCCGGGTCAGAAGATCCCCGACCACTCTCCTCAGACCAGTCTTGTATCCCGAGCCGTTTTTGCGACGGCCCCGAGGCGTGGCGAGGGCCCCGAGGTACCGAAGACGATAGAAAAATCAACGCCGTCGTGATGTGTCTTGATGGTTTCGAGGCGCCAGATGTCTCGGGCTGCAGGGCCAGTAGATGGACAAGACATCCGAACCCTTACACATTCGAGGGAGATTCCAAATCACCCCCACGCCCCCGACATTCGGTACAGGCGGTGCTTCGGGATTCGAGCATTTCTGTCCACTCACACGCCCCCCCCCGTCGTCACGCTGTCGATATTAATTTCGGGGGGTCTGGGGGGCATCTTGGGCCATCGATATTGATTCCCGGGAAATAAATGGATCCATCGTTTTCTCACACAGGAAATGGGATCCGCGCAACACAGAAACAGGATCCACGAAACTCTCCCACACCCGAAAAGGGATCCAATTGGATCCATGGATGCTCTCATATTTGCAGTGCCAGAGGAACAAAAATCCGACCTGGGGATGCAATGTCCATGCACGGGCCCACCCCCCGCCGAGGAGGCGAGGCCACGACCCGCAGCGGCCGCGCCCCCCAGAGATGGGCCGCCCGCGCGCGGCCGGCCTCCGGGCCTCACTGCTCGCGGCGGGCGCGGTCGCGCACCGCGTCACCCTGCCGCAGGAGCCCCCGGGGGCCGAGGCGCCCACTCGGCAAGAGCGTGCTTCTCTGGACGCCCGAGATGGGTACGGAAAGAATGGGTACAATGCCCAACAGCAGTTCTTGTTCATTTTGAACCGGATTCGCTGCCCACGCCGCCGCGGCCTGTGTCCGTTCGAGGCAGAAGGCCGCCTGCCCAACAGCGGCCGCTTTTGGTTGGGGACAACACTTGTTGTTGGGCATTGTAACCCATTCTTTCCGTGCCCATTTCGGGCGTCCAAAGCTTCTGTATCGCTTAGGGTACAATGGGCATTATAGCCCCGGGCCCCCCCATGTTGCCCCCCCACCCCACCCTACAACGTAACGCCCCTCCCCCCCCCGCGACGCGCTCCGGACCCTGCCGCCGCACGCATCGGGCACACGGCGGGGGGGAGGAGTTACATTATACCCCCCCTGGCCCCCTTCCCCCCCCTCTCTTTAATGCCCAGCATCGCCGAAAATAAAGAAACGCGCTCCAAGAGACAATTTGTTCACACCCTGGCGGCGATAACGGGCGTGAGCCCGGGAGGGGGAGGCAGGGGGGGGGGGAGGGGGGGAGGGGGAGGGGGCGATGAGGCTGGTCACGTCGCAATTCGCGCCGGCGCCGTCCAGGAATTGGGGGCGGGGCCGTTGGGCGCTAACCAAGACAACCAAGGTCAAGAGAACATCGAAGTCGGCGGAGGTTTTGGCCGTTTTCGGCCGGAGGCGCTCGCCGGGCCTAAGATCGTCAAAAAACAGCCTGGGATGGGTGGGGACTTCCGGGAGCCCCATATATCAAGACATCGGATGTCTGGGAAGGTTTGGCGGCGCGCAGAATTTTGGGATCCTGACGACGCAAGTTTTGCCCATCGGGCGGTTTGTTCATCCTGGATTCGGCCCCGGGAGACCTCACGGTTCGCTCAATCTGGCTCCGGGAATCCGGGAATGCAGGGTTCCGATCGAGAGCTCCCAAGTCGGATCTCAGGGAAGGGGGTGGCGCGAGGGGGACGGCCTTCTTGGAAGGCGTGGGGGAGTCTAAGCAGACACGCGGTTTCTCAGAAGCCCTCGGGTATCTGAGGAGCCTTCTCAGAAGCCTCTGGGCCATTCAGAGAAGGCTCCGGCCTTCCAATGAAGAAGCCCCCGCCCTTCTCAGAAGCCCTGCCCCTGGGCGAGACCAAACATAGTGGCGCCTGGCTTTTCGCAGTCTTTGGTCTCCAGGGGCCGCTTCCTGTCCCCAGGAGGTTCGGCCAGGATCGTCACAAAACTCCCAGGCGACCTGACCTTGTCCATGATGAGTGTGGGCCAAAACCGGATCGCCTTAGCAGTTTTGGAGGTGGCCTCGGGGCTGCTTCGGCCTGGCCCTTGGCATCTACCTGTGTGCAGCTAAAAGGGCGCCCCCGTCCGTGGCCCGATTGGCCCCCGCCGCCCTCAGTTCCGCTTGCGTCACGTCCTGGCCCCGCGCGACCGTCGCCGCTGGCCCATGGCCGCCGGCCCCCTGTGCGGCCCACCCCCTGCTTGGGCCTGCAGTTTTGCCCGTGCACGACGGGCGCGCACGCCTCAACAAAAAACTTACACATTGGGGAGAGGGTTGAGGGAGGAGAGGGTGTGGGTGGGGGGAGAGGTCGGGTTTCAAACCCATCGGCTGCAGAGGACCTTGCGCAGGCTTCCACAGGGGCCCCGCAGTCCACCTCCTGACCCCTATTTTATCATTTTGTCCATTAGTGCGATGATTCTCTTCATTCTTACGATGACTATTACTACCACCATCGCGACAACCACCACCACCACCACTACTTTTACTGTTACTGTTACTGTTAATACTACAACTGCTGCTACTACTACTACTACTACTACTACTACTACTACTACTACTACTACTACTACTACTACTCCTACTACTACTACTACTACTGCTGCTACTACTACTACTACTACTACTACTACTACTACTGACTACTACTACTACTACTACTACACTTACTACTACTACTACTACTACTACTACTACTACTACTACTACTACTACTACTACTACTACTACTACTACTACTACTACTACTACTACTACTACTACTACTACTACTACTACTACTACTACTACTACTACTACTACTACTACTACTACTACTACTACTACTACTACTACTACTACTACTACTACTACTACTACTACTACTACTACTACTACTACTACTACTACTATACTACTACTACTACTACTTACTACTACTACTACTACTACTACTACTAGGCAACGGACTCCCCTGGGTAGTGCTCTTGGGCGTTTTTTGGCAAGACTACGCGCGCGCGTGTCTCTCTCTCTCTCTCTCTCTATCTCTCCCTCTTTCTCTGTCTCAGTCTCTCACTCTCCCTCTCTCTGCCCTCCCGCGCGTGGACACCCGCTCCGCCGCCAGGGGGGCGGTGATTGTAGTGGGGGGGGGCGCCCCCCCAAAAAAACAAGTTGAATTTCAAGAAGATTTTTTTTTTTGGGGGGGGGGGGGGGCGCCCCCCCCCCCCCCCCCAACACCACACTCCATTCCTCCCCTTCCCGTCCCCTCCTCCCCCCTCCTCCCTCCCGTCCCCCCCTTTCAGTCGCAATGCATAGACGTCGCATGCACTGCGTTGCAATCGCATTGCAACAGCCGCCTTATTGGACCCTCCCTATTTCACTGTATTCCAATCGCATTGCGTTGCAATCGCATTGCATTGCATTGCAATCGGATTGCGTTGCATTGTATTGCAATCGAATTCATCGCATGTGCCGCTTCTGCAGTGCAATCGGTTGCATTGCAATCGCACTGCGTCACATTGCAATCGGATTGCCTTTGCTATGCTGGTGCGCACGGGTTCGGTGACTCGTGCAGGGATTGGGGACGGATGGTCTTACATGGGAAGAAGGAAAAAGAGGCGGAGGAGGAGGAGGAGGAGGAGGAAGGGCCCCGAAGGCTTCAAGCATCCTTGCCTCTGCGGGTCCACGTGCAGCACCGTAGGGCACCAGAGCCGTCCTCTGCGGCCTTGCGTCCTTGCCGACAGATAAAACAGGGTAGACAGCGTGTGGGACCCCGAATACTCCACACCATCCTCCACCTCCCGCAGCCATTTTGGCCTCAGGGTCCTTTTTTGGGGCGCAGAGCAGCGTCCAGAGTGCCGGCGAATCCTCCTGCCTGTGTTCCTATCGCTATCACTTTTTTTGCTCAGCCGGCATATCGCGCGGGCTCGGCCTTGTATTGTCGACGCGACAACCGGGTCAGATATGGTGTATGAGTGCGCCAATCCAGACTGCCGGTGGGGGACAACAGGGACGGCCACCTTGGTGAAGGAGCTCCACACGCGGTGTTTGTTGTGCCAACCAGCTGATGAGGTGGCGGGGCGGCGAACCCGCGGTCAGCGCGGGGCCCTCGTCAGAGTTCTTAGCAGACAAACGGTGGACGAGAGGGAGGCCTGGCTGGCCCAGCTGGGCCCCGACACGGCGGAGGAGATCCGAGCTGCTGTCGGGGACGTCCGTCCTGGAGCTGATCCCGTGGCTTCTGGTGCAGGTGCAGCCGCCGTGCATCTTCCTGCTGGACGCCCTCTTGCTGGTGCAGGTGCGGCCGCCACACATCATCCTTCTGGAGGCCGTCCTGCTGGTGCAGGTGCAGCCGACGCACATCTTCCCGCTGGAGGCCCTCCTGCTTGTGCGAGTGCAGGTGCAGCCGCCGCACATCTTCCTGCTGGAGGCCCTCTTGCTGGTGCAGGTGCAGCCGCCACACATCTTCCTGCTGGAGGCCCTCCTGCTGGTGCAGGTGCACCCGCCACACATCTTCCTGCTGGAGGCCCTCCTGCTGGCGCAGGTGCACCCGCCACACATCTTCCTGCTGGAGGCCCTCCTGCTGGCGCAGGTGCAGCCGCCGCATATCTTCCTGCTGGAGGCCCTCCTGCTGCATTCCTGCACCAGGGCTCGTTCCCGTACTGCTCGCTATACGCTGTGTCGCACTGAGTGGGCAGGGCGCTAGGGGCCAAGTTCGGAATTGGCTGCGACCCAGCCGAACTACTGCAGCAGTCGTTGCAACACCGAGTGCCGCCGAAGGCTCAGTGGCCGGATGACATTTGTGGCTCCATGGGGAAGATGATCATTCGCTTGCCCGATGTCATTTTCAAGCTCTGCATTGCGTGTTATTCCACTAAAGACTTCACGGCTGCCTCGCGCCAGGTGCGGGGCAGCCGTGAAGTCTTTAGTAGCGGCATGGTGGGCGGGCATGGGCGCCACGATGGCGGACCTCTCTCCGGGGGACCTGGCAGTCCTGACAATGCAAGAGGTCAACGACAACTCCCGCTACAGCTCCCAGAGGAACAACTCCGCCACGACCTTCTTCTTCCCAGTGCACGAGCACCTCATTTCCGAGGAGGTCCACTCTGGCCGCTCGGTCGTGGTCTTGGAGGACCCCTCCCGCGCGGGCACGCCGAGGCACGTCCACGGCCTGCGGCGCAGCAACAGGGAGCTCGGGCTCTTTGACCCCGCGGCCCCCGCGCTCGTGCAGGCGACGCAGCCGGAGTACTACCTCGACAAGGCGCAGGGCCGCAACCTGGCGCACTACATGCTGGAGCGCCGGGCTGCCCCTGGGGCGCCCCCCCCGAGCGCGCCCCTCTGAGGTCGGAACAGAGTCAGCGAGGCCGTTTACTTTCTCCCCCATTGCTCCTTCTCACACTCCACCTGCCCACGAGCTCTCTCTCTCTCACCGCCCCGCCGCTGCACACCCGCCACCCCGAAGTGTGTGTTTGTTTCCAGTAATCGGCGATGTACACTACCACCGTCACCGACGCGCCGTGCTTCGTGGTAATTCGCGGGCCCTGGAGAACAAACAATTAGCGCATCTTTGCTTCGGCCAGGCGGCCAGCGCGCCGCGCTGCCAGCAGCGGTCTCTCTTGCCATGATTGCAGGCACAATCGAACTCAGCGAGGCCACCTGGAAAATCAAGAAAGATTACATCGTCATTATCAATCAGGGATAGTCGCTCAGCCTTCGCCAT